GGGGGGGGGGGGGGGGGGGGCTGGGGGAGGCATACAGGAGGAAAGAGCGGAGGGGGTGGCCCCATCCCCTGATTCAGAGGACTTTCCTGCCCACCTTACAGGTGATCCCATGGGTCACTGAGGCACCCTGTCTGCTCCCACCTCAGAAGTGTCAACTGGAGTCCTAGCTGGAGGCCCTGAGACCCAAGAGGGGACCCCCACCCAGGCCTTGTCACCCCAGGGTCCTTCCAGGCTCTGCAGCCTGGGCTCTGACTCTGTCACAGCCTCGGGGGTCCTGGGCAGAGCCCCCTGAATCCCGGCCTGGCTGCCCCAGCGTAGGGGGTGTGCGGGGGGACAGGAGGCCCTGGGAGGCCTCACACCCCCGCCCCCACCCCCACGCCAGATCACTTCCAGCACCTGCTGAACGAGTCGGAGCGGGCGCTGCAGGACACCTTTCCCGGTGCCTTCGGGGAGCTGTACACACAGAGCGCCAGGGCCTTCCGGGACCTGTATGCAGAGCTGCGCCTCTACTACCGTGGCGCCAACCTGCACCTGGAGGAGACGCTGGCCGAGTTCTGGGCCCGCCTGCTGGAGCGCCTCTTCCGGCAGCTGCACCCTCAGCTGCTGCTGCCCGACGACTACCTGGACTGTCTGGGCAAGCAGGCCGAGGCGCTGCGGCCCTTCGGGGAGGCCCCGCGCGAGCTGCGCCTGCGCGCCACCCGCGCCTTCGTGGCAGCCCGCGCCTTCGTGCAGGGCCTGGGCGTGGCCGGTGACGTGGTCCGGAAGGTGGCCCAGGTGCGCATGGCGGCCCCGCCCCCCACCCCACTGCTTTCTGTCCCGGCCCAGCCCCCCTGTGCCCCAGGGCCTCCTGGCGGGCTCCCCGCCCCCCCCACCCCTGCCCCGGGGAGCCCCCGGGGCCCACAGATAGCACTTCCAGGGACCGAGCTCCGCAGGGGACCGCTGTGCAGCCCCATCCTCAGCCAGGCTGGGTCCCGAGCAGGACTGGAGGGGAGGAGGTACGGCGCCAGATGCCGAGTCGGCTCCGGGGACAGGGCACGGGAGCCAGGGGGGCAGCGTGCTCGGAGGCCAGAGCAGGCTGGGGCCTTCCCCCAAGGGGCAGCTGGAGTGCGAACCCCTGGTGACAGAGGAGGAGGGGCATCAGCCTCCGGTCCCCAGGACTCCGCCTCCAGCTGGGGTCCTGGGCGCGCCCTCCTCCCAGCCTGAGCCTCGGGCCTCGCGCGTGTGGGAGACTGTTCACGCCCGTGAGCTCCATGAGGGCAGCGTCCAGGCAGTCGCTCGCCGAGACGGTAGCAGTTGTTGGGGTGAACGGCCTCACCGGCGGTAGGCCTGCGTCACGGTCTGAGAGGAGAGGGGCTCCCCGAGAAGGGCAGGTCCCGAGTGGGGCAGAGCCGAGGCCTCCTGGCTTCCATCCAGAGCCTTCCGCCCCGGGGCTCCCTTGGGGGCTGGGCATGGCCCGCTGGCAGGCGGGGCTCAGGCTGCTGTGGCCCCGCAGGTGCCCCTGGGCCCCGAGTGCTCCAGGGCCGTCATGAAGCTGGTGTACTGCGCGCACTGCCTGGGGGTCCCCGGCGCCCGGCCCTGCCCGGATTACTGCCGCAATGTGCTCAAAGGCTGCCTGGCCAACCAGGCCGACCTCGATGCCGAGTGGAGGAACCTTCTGGGTGAGCCGTCACTGCCACGCGCAGGAGCCGCGCAGGAGTGCCTGGCCAGGGGCCCCGGGGGCGGGGGGCCGTTCTGCGTGCAGGCCCCGCCTGCGATGGAGCCCGGGGGGTCCTAGTTCCCTGTCCTCCCCCGCCCCGCAAGGGCCCCACCACGCCCACACGTACGCGACGTAAGGCCATTGCACCCACGAACTGACACATGCTCGGGCCAGCCGGCCGCTACACGTGCTGACACGTGGTGGGCCAACACGCATCCACGTCAACACGTGTGAGCTGGCGTTGCTGACGTGAGGTGGGTGGGCATAGGTAAGTCCCGACCTGCGCTGACCGCCAGCCGGCACGTGTACACACACACGTGCTAATGTGCTCACGTGTGCTGTGATTCTGGCCGACGTGAAGCTTCCCAGCGTGTGTGAATCGGTTCAGTCCGTGCCAGCGCATGCGTGTGCAACGCACGCACGGAACTCACATGCCACCAGCAGACCCCTGGTGGGCCGGCACGCGTACGCACCAGCACACGCGTGGGCTCCCGTGTGGACGCGGGGTGGCTGGCGTGCACACTTACAACGTGCTCTCTGTGCCTGTGCCCACACCCGTCCCAGACTCCATGGTGCTCGTCACCGACAAGTTCTGGGGCCCGTCGGGGGCGGAGAGCGTCATTGGCAGCGTGCACCTGTGGCTGGCAGAAGCCATCAACGCCCTCCAGGACAACAGGGACACACTCACGGCCAAGGTGCGGGCAGGAGGTCGCAGGGGGCATGGAGGGGCATCCCAGACGCGGACCCCAACGGACCCCATGGTCTTCCCCCAGGTCATCCAGGGCTGCGGGAACCCCAAGGTGAACCCTCAGAGCTCTGGGCCTGAGGACCAGCAGCGCCGGGGCAAGCTGGTGCTACAGGAGAAGCCCCCCACGGGCTCCCTGGAGAAGCTGGTGAGGGGTGCTCCCCGGGCGAGGGGGGCGATGCAGGAGAAGCCCCCCACAGGCTCTCTGGAGAAGCTGGTGAGGGGTGCTCCCCGGGCGAGGGGGGCGATGCAGGAGAAGCCCCCCACGGGCTCCCTGGAGAAGCTGGTGAGGGGTGCTCCCCGGGCGAGGGGGGCGATGCAGGAGAAGCCCCCCCACGGGCTCCCTGGAGAAGCTGGTGAGGGGTGCTCCCTGGGGGCTGTGGGAGGGGGGGCGAGCAAGGCACCCCACGGTCTGACTCCCACCCCGCAGGTCTCCGAGGCCAAGGTGCAGCTCCGAGACGCCCAGGACTTCTGGATCAGCCTCCCGGGGATGCTGTGCAGCGAGAAGCTGGCCATGAGCAGCGCCAGCGATGACCGCTGCTGGAACGGCATGGCCAAGGGCCGGTAGGTGCAGGCTGTCCCTCCTCCTCGGTCTCTCCTGGGCCCCTCGTGGCCTTTGCACCAAGTGCTGTGTGCAGGGGCCATGCCCGACCCCAGACCCATGGGAGCACGGGAAACCCAGGCGAGGCTCCTAACCCTCGCCCCCGGCCAGCCCCCTGCGGTGTGCACCATTCTTAGGGTGTCCGCACCCCACTGCTGTGGGCTCCCGTTGCCCCCAAAGGGCACTTGGGGTCGAGGGCGTGCCAGGTTAGTGCCCCTCAGCACGAACCAGGCAGCAGTGACCCAGGGCCTGCCCTTGGCCCGCAGGTACCTCCCGGAGGTGATGGGCGACGGCCTGGCCAATCAGATCAACAACCCTGAGGTGGAGGTGGACATCACCAAGCCTGACATGACCGTCCGCCAGCAGATCATGCAGCTGAAGGTCATGACCAACCGGCTTCGCGGCGCCTACAGCGGCAACGACGTGGACTTCCAGGACGCGAGTGCGGGCGGGGCTCTGGGGCGGGGGCCGGGTGGGGGGCGGTGGGTCATGCAGGGGAGGGACCGCCCCAGCCCGCAGACCCCCACAGTGGTGTTGAGATGCTGCTACTGTCCGGGCACAGACAACCAGGCACCCCCCCAACCCGTGTCCCCAAGTGCAGCTGAGCCTTGCCAGGATGTCCCCGGGCGGGGCGGGGAGCCCAGGGCAGAGCTGGCACCCCCGGGTGCCCAGGGTCCCCTGGCAGTGGGTCCCCCGCTGGAGCCTCCTCTCCTCCCCAGGCGACGACAGCAGTGGCTCGGGCAGCGGTGACGGCTGCCCTGACGACCTCTGTGGCCGGAGAGTCAGCAAGAAGAGCTCCAGCCCGCGGACGACCCTGACGCACGCCCTCCCGGGCCTGTCGGAGCGAGGGGGCCAGCAGAACCCGGCCTCCGGCGGCCCCCGGCCCTGCGCGTCGCTGCTGCTGCTGCTCCCCTCCCTGCTCCTCTCCGCCACCAGGCCCGCGTGGCGGTAACTGCCCGAGGCCCCAGGGACTTCGGCCAAGAACTGACTTTGCCAAAATGCAAAACAGACGATATTTAATTCCGCTGGGCCTAGAGGCCCCGGGGCAGGACAGGGAGGGACAGTGAGGGGCCCCGGCTCTGCAACGGCGCTGGGGTGGGGCGGGGCCCTGCCCCCCCCCCCCCCCCCCCCCCCGGCTCTACCGGCCACCCTGGCTTTTAGTTTTGTATGAGGCCCTCAGGTCAGCCGGGAACAATGTCCCCAAAAGCCATGTATTTCAGGGACCTGGGGGTGCTGGCGGCCACCTCCCCGCCTGCCCGCCTGCACCTCATCCCCCAGCCCCCCGAGCCGTGTCCCGCTGGAGAGTGCGAGCCTGTGCCTTCCTCTCCTGCCTCCTCCCACCGAGAACTTCCGGCCTCCATGGGTCAGAAAGCAAAGCCCATGCCTGGGCGCCTGAGAATCGCTGGGAGGGCCTCAGGGTTTCTGCCATCCGGGGTCTGGCAGGGGCTTTGAGATTATGCATGAACCCTTCTGACTCAGCCGGGCCCCCATGATGCCGTGTCCCCCCATCCCTCCCCCCGCCCCCTCCCCCCCAAGGCCCTCAGCATCAGAACGACTTCTAACTGGGAAGGCACCTTTGCTGACGGGTCCGTCAGGACTTCATTCTCACCAAGGACCGGCTACGAGGGTCTGGGGCGCAGAGATGGGCCACCGTGGGCACAGCCTCACCACCTCCGGGGCCGCCCTGTTGACCTTTGTGTGAGGCTGGGGGTGCCGGTCCTGGCTGTCCCAGGGGAGCAGGCTGGGTACCCCCTTCACACACAGGCCCCATGCCTCTCGCCGCCCCCAGACCAGGCAGGGCTGGAGGGCACGCGTGGCCACAGGATGCAGGCAGGCCAGCGAGACAGGAGCCCAGCCCCTCCTGACCCCGCCGGCTGCAGGGGGCCTGGGGGGCTTTGACAGTTAAGGGCTTTTCAGACTTACATACATTCACAGACGCTCTCCACTTGTTCACCCAGAGCTGCTTTTCAGCTACTCCCAGAGCTTGGAGGTGCTGGGCTTCCCCAACCGGGGCGCACCCCTGCTCACTTGGGCTGTCCAGCCCCCACTCCCACCCCGGGCCCAGGACTCTGCCCTCTTCCCTCCCTCCTGGGCCCTGGCTGCAGTGGGCCCTGAGGAGGGAGCTGGACCCTGCCAGAGAGGGGCTTAGGCAAGGGGACCCTCAAGGGCCCATCGGAAGCTGAGCCCTGTGGCGGGCACAGCAGTGCTGACGAGCACGGGGATCCGGCAAGGCCGTTTTGCGCTTCTCCGCCTTGCCCCTCGCACCCGTCGGGCCCCCCAGCCTGTGCCCCACAGGGCAGCACTGTCCCCCAGGCACGCCCACCTCTTAATAACTGTTCCTGCCAGACCAGAGGGCCGGGCCTGGGGCCCCCTTCCCAGTAGGCAAAGGCCAGCCCAACCCTCGGGGACTCTGGGGCAGCGCTGGCCTGGCTGCCCGTGGGAGTGCCCTCCCTGTGTGCCTCTGTGGGGGGGGCAGGGCCAGTCGCTGGCCAGGCGGCAGCCAGGCCTGCTGTGTCCCCCTGCACGGCGTCAGCTGGCGTCACATGCTCTTGAGTCCTCGTACGAATAAAAGGTTGGAGAGCTCTTGCGGCTGTGGTGGCCCCGTCCTGCACAGCTCGCCGGGGCGCGCAGCAGATGCGCCCGGGCGGCGTCCGGGGAGGCGGGGACGGGCTCGGCACGCACCGCACCCAGCGGCATAGCCCCAAGGCCGCACGGTCCGCGTCCTGGCGTCCCACCCGGCGCCCACTCAGTGCCAGCCAGACCCACCTGCTGTCCACTCCTGACGCGTGCCCCAGGGAGGTCCCTGTTCCTGCCAAGTGGGGACCAGTGCTCTGAGGCCAGGGCTGGCTGGACACCCCAGTGGTCCAGTCTGTTGCCGCCTCCCGGGGGCCCACCAAGCAGGCTCCTGCATCGCCACTGGGGCCAAGTTGCCAGACCCCATCCCCACCCCCACAGGTGGCCCAGCGCCCGGAGGCCAACGCAGAAGCTGCAGCTGCTAAAAGGCCACTTTATTGTGGGGGGTTGCGGCCACGCTGGTCAGCCTGGTGAACATTCAGCAAAGCCTCTCTGTCCCCGCGGGCCTGGAGTGCTGAGGAGCCAGCAACCAGCCCCCGCTCCCCCGGCCCGGGGCAGCCGGGCCGTGTGCCCTGGGAGGGAAGATGGGGCCCCGCCATGGGGGGCTTCTCCGGGGCTCGCGGCTCCTCGATGGCCCCTGGGCCAAACACCGGCCTCCCCTACAGAGCAGTGGCTGTGGGCTCCCTCACCCGCTTTCCGGGGGGCCCTGGGTGGCCCGTGGCCTAGCTCCTCCCAGGAGATGGGGGGTGGGGAAGACTTCCCCCCCGTGGGGGCAGGCGGATCTCTAGACCGTCATTCGTGGCTGTACGTGGAATAGAATGAGTGGTGTGATGGCTTCGGGGTCTTGGGCTTCTGGCCCGCCTCCTTGCCCAGACGCTTCACCGTCTTCTGGAAGTTGGATGTGAACAGAGGTGGATGTATTTTCTTTGCTGGGGAAAGGACACAAGCGAGGTGTACGTCAGCACAGGAGAGCCGGCGGGGGAGGGCAGGTGGGGAGGGCCCCCCCGACCACAGCAAGCCAGCGATGGTTAAGGAGAGGCCCCGCCCTGGCTCTTGTCCCAACTGATTCCCCTCAGGAGTCCGGGAAACCAGAGACGTCAGGACCAACCCCCAGCCCCAGCGCAGGCCGGAGCGGGTCGGCTGGTCCGGAGCCCCTTCTGGGCGGCTCTGCGTGGCACACTCATGTGGGACACACTCCGCTCCCCTCCCGGTGACAGTGGCCTGTCTTTACCTGGAGACAGCCCCTCTGTCCAGAAACCACAGGTATACTCAGAGTGCTCACTCTCGTCCAGGATGGAGAACAGATCCCTAAGCCTACACCCTAGTGAACGTGGGAAGCCTAGAGCCAGGCCCTGGGCTCCTTCTGGAAACAAGACGGGGCAAAGGCACAATTCGGAGCCACCGAGGGTGGAGTCGAGGGCAGGTGCCGGGCCCGTGAAGGGCCCTGTGGTGGATCCAAGCCCGGCCCTCCTTCCTTCGTGCCACCTGAGGACGGCAAATGCTTACGTCCAACGCAGGGCCCACCTGGGAAAACAGAGAAACGAGGCGGCCAGAACCCTCTCAGGGACCTCAGAATACACAGCAACATCGAAGGTCGCAAACGAGAGTGACAAGTGGGAGAAGATACCAGGAAACCTCTGGCGTCGTCGAGGTGTCACAGCCCCAGGGCGCGCTCGGGCTACAGTGACACCCACACACACCCCCTCCCCGCGCGCAGCTCAGAATGGGATGGGTCTGTAACGAAGTCAGGAGCCATCTGAGGCCACCTGAGCGAGGTCCCCGTGTGGGCTGCAGGGAGCGTGGGGGTGGGGCAGACACAGAAATGCCCCTGGGGGTGGGGGCGGGGTGCTGGAGCTGACCCCATGCAGCCTGGACACAGGGAGGGGCGGAAAGCTCTCCGCTGGCCAGGCGCACCAAGAAAGCTTTGCTGCCAGGGCTCTGCCCAGAAACTGTGTCCCCAGAGCATGGGGCTCCCTCTGGTCCTGGGAGAGAAAGCAACAGATCCCCAGTGACCGCAGCACAAACGGAAAACCACAACATGCCAAAAACACCCAGCGCCCAGAGCCGGAGCCAGAGAACGCGGCTGAGGACTGGCAGTCCACACTGCGCTGTGCGGGGCCAGAGACGGGAGCCGGCAGGTTAGAACTCGCCTGCTGCTTGAGAGGAAACCAAAGACTGGGAAAAGCAGCAACAGGAGCTGAGGCAGGGACCCTCCCCCAGGAGGCAGGGAACCCCAGAGGAGGCAGGGACCCCCCCAGGAGGCAGGGACCCCCCCAGGAGGCAGGGAACCTCCCCAGAGGGGGCAGGGACCCCCCCAGAGGAGGCAGGGATCCCCCCACAGGAGGCAGGGACCCCCCCAGAGGAGGCAGGGACCCCCCCAGAGGGGGCAGGGATCCCCCCACAGGAGGCAGGGACCCCCCCCAGGAGGCAGGGACCCCCCCAGGAGGCAGAGAACCTCCCCAGAGGGGGCAGGGACCCCCCCAGAGGAGGCAGGGATCCCCCCAAGGAGGCAGGGACACCCCCAGAGGAGGCAGGGACACCCCCAGAGGCAGCAGGAACCTCCCCAGAGGAGGCAGGGATCCCCCCACAGGAGGCAGGGACCCCCCCAGAGGAGGCAGGGACACCCCCAGAGGCAGCAGGAACCTCCCCAGAGGAGGCAGGGACCCCCCACAGGAGGCAGGGACCCCCCCACAGGAGGCAGGGACCCCCCCAGAGGAGGCAGAGACCCCCCCCAGAGGGGGCAGGGATCCCCCCCAGGAGGCAGGGAACCTCCCCAGAGGGGGCAGGGACCCCTCAGAGGGGGCAGGGACCCCCCCAGAGGAGGCAGGGACCCCCCCCAGGAGGCAGGGGACCCCCCAGGAGGCAGGGACCCCCCCAGGAGGCAGGGACCCCCGAGAGGAGGCAGGGATCCTCTACAGGAGGCAGGTCAGCAGTAGATCATGCATCCGGCGGGGGGGAGGCAGCAGGTTGGTGCCCAGTGACTGGGAGGTAGAGCTGAGCCCCCCCATAGGGAGGTCCACAGGTGACCAACCTGAAGGCGGCCCCTAGGCCACGGAAGACCCCGCTGCCTTGAGTCCCCCTGGGGAAAATTCTGGAAGAGGCAGATCCGTAGGGAAGGGAGCGCGCAGGCAGCTGCCAGGGGCTGGGTGAGAAGAGCGTGTAAAATAAATGATGCTGGGCCGTGGACCGGCCACGGGGAAGACAAAACAGCCCCTCCTTCACACTATCAACGACAGATCGATTTGGGAAGGAATAAGGACAAAAGCGACGCTTCCAAACCCGGCACGGAAATAGGACGTTAGGGCCTGAGGGTACAGCGAGCCTTCCCAGACACAAAACCACGAGCCACCAGGATGCGGTGGCCGGCCGTGGCCGCAGCAGCATTCAGTCCTGCACAAGAGAGACCAGCGTGTTAAGGCAGGCTGTGGAACGTGAAAGAAGCTTCTACCATCAAGGAAAAAGCTAATCCCGCAGAAAACAATGGGCAAAGGTCACACACACGGAGTTAAATCACAGACGTGGGACTCCGACCGGTAAGTAATAAATAGGGCAAATAACAATTAAGTACATGGAAAAACTGCTTGATTTTCCTCGCCGTCGGGGAACGCACGAAGAGACTTTCCCAGCACGTGCAGGGTAAAACCTCCCCGTATAAAACGTCACAGCGGAAAGCAAGCCCACGTGCCTTCCGGACGCGGGAACGAAATGCAGAGCGTCACGTGGGGGAGAGTCGCCTCCCTTCTTTAAAGCCAGGCCTGGGTGGGCGCAGCTCAGTGTACCCGCACGGGCAGCAGTGGGTCAGGGGCCCCTTTTATTAATTTGTTGACTTTTTAAGATGCTCAGCGTTGAGTCAGGTCAGATCCAGGGCCTTGAAACTTGGGGGACAAGGGGCGGTTCTTTAAAATAAAGGAACCCACACCACCAGCAAAGATACGCTGCCCCCTGGCCTGTGGGCGTCGGCAGACAACCGCCCAGGAGCCCGGCTCTGGGGCCGCGGAAGCGGCGCCCCTGCTCTGTGGCCGGGAAGGGGCCCGCGGCTCCCGGCCCAGGGTTTCCCAAGTCCTCCCCGGGCGCTCCTGGCTCTCCAACAGGCACCGGACGCCGGGTTCCGGGCGGAACCCCGACAAACGCGTTCCAGGCCTTCTGTGTCCGTCGCCAACATTCCAGGCCGACCGTCCCTCTCTGCCCCGAGCTCACCTCTGGCTGCTGCTCTCAGGCTCCCGAACCGCCCCGGTTCCCCGCTTCCTGGGGGCCTCCCAGAGCTCCCTGGGCTTTACCTGGCCACCCTTCGGGGTGCTGCCCCCTCCCAAGAGCCCAGGTATGGGGGCCCGGGCAGGGGCGGTGGCAACCGGACTGGGCCCTCCCACTGCACCCCTGCCGCTCCCCGCGCCCTGAGGACCACCATCTTTGCCCAGCTCCGTCGGTTCCCTTGAGCTAAGCGAGGCTCCGCACCGTCTGCGCCGTCCCCTGCCCGCCTGTGGGACCCCCTCCTCCAGAGCACCTTTCGGCCCTGTCCTGCTGGCCGGGTCCTCAGCCGGAGCCCCCCCTGCAGCCCCCACTGTCCCCCTGACCTTCTCTTACACCCGATCTGGGCTCTGCCACAGCCCGGCTCCCTCCAGGCCATGGGCACCCCCCCAAGCTCGCCCTGAAGCCACCATCTGGTCACCCTGTGACACCCCGTCCCTCTGCCGTCCCGCGCCCACCTGCCCCACCTCGGCTCCCGGTGCGGGCCCTTCGGGCAGGGGCCGGGGACAGGGCCCCTGTTTTCCTGCCTGAGAGAGGGTCCCGGTGGGCGCCGAGCAGGGCCTGGGGGGCAGGGAGGCAGAGCGGCCGTCTGGGCAAACTCACAGGCCGGAGGCCCCGGCGGGTGGGCTGGCCTCCGACCGCCCTCAGCAAGCCGGCCCCTCAAGGGCTGCCCGGGGCAGCGCGTGTTGAGGCCGGCGCTCTGCCCACCGGCAGCCACCCCCCTCCACACATTCACGCGCAGACACACACACGCTCCACAGTCAGCTCTGTAGGAGCGGGTCCCGCACCCTGGCTCGCCTCCCCAGTTCCGTGCACGAGCCCCCCTTCCCACGACGCCCTCCCCCGGGGGGACGCGGCCCTGAGACCACTCCCTACCCCAGGGCGAGCTCGTGTCCCACGGACTGTCCGTCACGGCCACGGCCAACCCCCCAGGGCTCTACCACAGCTCCCGTGAGCCACCACGGGCACTCTCTGCAGCCGGCTCCCACGGGTGCCCCCCCCACGCCCGCGTTGCTAGCTGCCCCCCCCGCCAGGCTCTCCCCCGAGCACCTTTCCTGCCCACGGCCACGGCCCGGCCTCCACCCCTGCCCTCCGGCCCTGACGCTCCGCGGCGCGCCCAGATGGCCTCCCTTCCACGCTGCCTAGGCCCTCACGCGTCACAGGCCCTGCACGCCGTCCCCCCTGCCCGCGCACCCCACCACCTCCCTCCCACGCCCAGCAGCGGCCTGAAGCACAGCGGACTGGGCGCCCGTCCCCTGTGGGACGTGGGCACGTGACTGACAGTCCCAGGGAGGCCAGACCCCTGATGACAGTTGAGCCCACACAGCAGGGGCCTAGCGGGGAGCGGGCGGCGGGGGGGGTGGCCTGGGTCTGGGCCTCCAGTCCTCGCGGACGCCCGCTCCGCAGCAGGGCCTGAGGAACCGGAAGGCCCGCGTTCGCAGAGAGCACGCTGCGGCCAGGGGAGAGGGGAGGCGGGTCCACCCCCGGCAGCCGGGTGTTCGGGCGCCTCATGCTCCGAGAGAAGCAGGCAGAGGGCTCAGCAACTTCACAGAACTTTCCGAGGAGGGGGCTGTGCTCCGCAGGAGCCGTGAGCAGGGCGGCGCCCAGCTTCTACCTGACGTGGAGTAGAAACAGCTCGGCCCATGAAGCCGACCGCAGGGACCGCTAAGGCCCGAGCCGTCCCCAGAGTCGGGAGACCAGCCCCGGGGCCCCAGCACTCGGGACCTGGTGGGTGGCTGCTGGCTGGGACGCCCCTGCTCTGGGAGGGACAGAGGACGCACTGCGCATCTCCCGGGGCGGCCGCTCCACGGCCCCCGCACAGGACGACAATGCCCCCTCCCGCCACGCCGCGGGGCCCAGCAAGGGCAACGTCAGGGGCGCTGGTTCGGTATTTTCTGACGACAGAAGGCATCGAGTTCCTGAGGAGCGGGACGTCCAGGTGGCGGAGAGGCAGGCCTGGGCGGGGCCCGGGGTGGGGAGCCTGAGCGGGCGGGGGCGCCCCCCACACAGGCGAGAACCCACCGCGGCACCTCGGCGACGGAACAGACGGATGAAAGGTTAAATGAAGTCTCGCGGAAGAGACTTAAGCCGGAGTGCCCACCTTTGGTGTAGAATCCTTCTAAGAAACTGGAGGCGGCAAGCTTTGCCCTGTGGACACGAGGCCGCCATACCGCCAGCTGACGGTGAGCGCTGGAGGGATAAGGAGCGAGCCACGGACGCATCCCCCCCCCCCCCCCCCCCCC